GAGGATCAGGTCACTATATTTATGTGTCACTATTTACGTTTTTTTTTTTTATTAATATTATTTATTATTTATTTATATATACTTTTTTTATGTATTAGCGCTACACCATTATATATATTTTTAGCACTATTCACTTATAGGTATGTAGTTGTGGGTGTTAGCAGCTGTATCAGTATTATTTATTTATTTTTTCTACTTCATAGCGCAGGAGGTTTACACTAATATTTCCTACTTGCTGTTCTAAAACATATCCAATAAAATCTAATTTCTTCATAAGTGTAGGCCAAAATCTATACTGATACATGTCTTTGGTAAAAAAAAAAAAATCCCAATAAGTGTATATTAATTGGTTTGTGTGAAAGTTATAGCATCTACAAACTATGGTATACAGATTTGAAAATTGATCAGTCCTGATGTACTGACAACCTATATCATTTCTTGAGGCCCTAAAATGTCATGACAGTACAACTATTCCCCAAATGACCCTTCTTTGGAAAGTAGGTAGTCTGAGGCATTTAGTAAGAGACATAGCAAGTTTTTTGAAGTTGTAATTTTGAATAATTTTGTATAAAATTTTAATTTACTTTTTTGTTATAACACATTTTTTTTCTTTTACATTTTTTTTTGCTTACTGTTATCAGAATTGTTCAGTGTCTACATAGTGACACTGTACTACTCTGACGAGAGTGATCTGGGGGTGGGGGTTGCGATGTGATAGCTGTTATAGTAATGATCACTGTAACAAGCAATTGTTTGAACTGCCAAGAATGAATTTCATTCATAACAGCTGCGCTTACTCTAGTGATCCCATGATTGACCCACAGCTATCACGTGGTATAGGGTGCTGTGACTTGCCCAGGTACCATATGATAGCTGTGGAAAAATCACAGCACCACTAGAGTAAGCACAGCTGTTAGGAATTAAAATTCAAAGTGGCTAGGTACCGGTAACCAAGATCCACTGTGTCCACCGGACTGGACGCAGGAACGGTGTGCTGTGGGGGGCCCCAAAGGGCGTGTCAGTGCGCATGTGCCAGGCAATGTATATTTATGTTGCTGAGAATGGCTGTACCGCCCGCCCACAGTAAAAGTGAGTGAGGCGGAAAATGGATAAGATGGGTATCAGGCAGTTACATATGATGAGGTGGGCAAATGGTGATGACTGGGTATTTCAATATTTTTGTAGTCAGTTTTTAATTGATACTTAAATAGGAAATATACTCACCTCCACTCCAGCAATGGAGTGTCCAGGAGCTTCTTGCCAGCTGCTGACATCTTCAGCCGGTCTTCTTCCAGGTTCTGATCTCTATCTGTTTTGACTGGCCAGGCCAAGATGACATCGCTCATTTATTCATTTCGGCAGATACCGAAATTGTACATTGAGGTCTGCATGTGCAACTCACTGTACAGCGAGAACAGGCAGGTAAGAACACTTTAATGTAGAAGAGACATGTCATGTCCCTTTTTGTAGTAAACTGCCTGCTTGTTTTTTCATTAAAGTTCCAGTTTAACAACTGTAATCACAAGACCACATATGCAAAAATCATTGTGGAGATTCAGTTAAAGAATCAGAAGACACACAGCTGCAAAGACCAATGAAAATGCACAATGATCATGATTTACTAAAGCTTGTTCACATTCAAAGTACATTTTCTCTTTGCAAAATAACTATTAACATATCTTGATGAATAAGGTAAAAGTGAAGAATTACTTTGCAAAGCAATTGAAAGGTAATAAAAAAACAAGAATTTTGCGTGCACACGATTAGATAATTGAATTCAGCACAACTTCACTCATGATTGGGTGTTTTTTCCTCTGAATTTTCACCTTTCATCTTTACAAAGATAAATGAAAATTCATTTAGCATGCCATTTTCTATTAATAAATCAACCCTAAAACAATAAAAATGTTCTTAATATATGAATTATGCTTGTGAAGGTATTTGTGTACTTTTAAAATGTTTTCAAATATACAAGCATTCAACAGGGATGTGGAAATTTGTAAAAAAAAAAAGGACTTGTCTAAGGGACTAAATTGGGGTCCCAATGTACTTGTCCCTCATGACAATCTACTTGTCCTGATAAAAAAAATTCTTTTAACCAAAACTGTATCTAAAATAAGGGCATTACTGATAACAAGAAGGGTTTATGTTTTTTATTAGGCAGAGGTGCTTTTAGGAATGTCTGGGGCTTTTAAAAACAAAAGGGGCTTTATGGCAAGCTAGTCCCCCTGTGACAAAGAAGTACAAAATATGTCCAATCCCACCAAAGAGGAGGACACGCCTATGTGGGTAATGGTGGAAGGTGGAGTTTGGAAATTATGCAGCTAAAGTTCACAGCGCCTGGGCATAAAAACTGTAATTGGATATCCCCGGGGATGGGAGGGAATGGGCAAACCAGGCCCTTGTTCCGACAGGCCAGTACAATATGGTCCCTGGAGAGTGATAAAGCAGGTGATCAGTAGTACTGAAGAGGTATTACTCCCCATAACCCCATAAAGGCATAACACTATGACACATTAAGGCAAAACACTGTGTGACTAAAAGGCTACAAGAAAGGATCCCATTCGCCCCCCAAAAAAATGAGTTCAGATCCTCCACCCAGAGAAGAGGAGGATGGGCGGAGAGGTCTTTCAGTTCTAGTGAACACAGGTATGAAGTAAGTAAAGCAAAAAGTCTGTTGCACGTAGCTACTGAGATGAACGCAAACCACTGGACAGGGAGAGTTTCCCACGGTAATGTCTCACAAGAGACGAAAATGCAATGGTCACATCACCTACTAGCAGAAAAAGCTCACCATCAGCCAGACATCCAAATAACCATAGCACGGAAATGAAGTGCCCATGGAAAGACAATAAAACAAATACATTATCTAAAGTCCTGGACCACTAGGTAAGAGACAGATCCAAAGCCTAAGAGTGGCCCTCTATTGGCAACTAACAACTTAGAAAAAGTGCAGCATGAACACCTATTTCCTGAAAAAAACAGGGGAAGTAACATAAATCTTCCTAGGAACCCACGACTCCTACCCCAGTGCCACTTCAGGAAAAACCTAATAGAAGCAAGGGGAAGAGTCATGGGAACTGGGTCTTGAGCAGATCCCCTGGTGACAGTAAACCAGCCGTATAAAGCAACCCCCAGCAACACACTCCCTTAGTGGAGAGGCTGTAGTCCATCGGTGCCCAACCCGCAGCCCCCAACTGCCACATGCCCCAGAAGGCAGACAATCACAAGCATGACTTCCAAAGGCAGAGGCAACACCCAGACCCGCAGCAGCCAAAGGGCCACAGGCCAAGCACTCATGCTGTAGTCGCCTAGGAACCAGCACCCAGGAGCTGTACTGGAACAGAGCACAGAGCAGCAGTGGAGTGAAGGTTGTCAGGCATACCAATATCAGGCACAATCAGCATTAAATGCTATACACGGCGGAGGGGGTAAACCCCTACCACCCCCCACGTCTCCTCCCAATCCCAGAACAGCAAAGATTGCAAACATAATGACCACACTGGGATGAATGAGGAAAGGATAAAAGGTTAGGGGTTGGTGGGGGGCAAAGGATGGTAAAGGGACAGGACAGGGGTCAGGTATGGGTAGGGGGAGAGGGGTAAAAGAAGGGAAGCTAGAGGAAAGAGGGATCAGGGTGACAGAACTGGAGGATCCTGGACAGGCAAATCACACTGCAAAAATTTCACTGTAACCTCCAGGGCAAAGAAAAGGGCAGCATAGCAACAGTGACACCGTATAACAGGTAAGGGTCCCAACTAATGGCCAAAAGGCACTCTCAATTCTCTGTGCCATGTCATCCAATCGGGAAGGGAAGGAGCGGAGAATGTCGAGGAGATCCCCATCATCAGTCAAGGTGATAAGAATTGAAGCCATAGAGGACTCCGAGGCTGTGGGGGGAGGATCGCCCCAAAAGTGCAGGAGTACGGATAGGAAAGGAGCTAGCAACCATCTGGTTTTGTGCTGCATCGGTGGAGTGAGGCACCGAGGCACATGCTATGTCTGCCGGCAAAGCGAGTCGGCACCAACCTGGGAGACTGCTGGGCCAAGTTAAGGATGTGATACCAGCCAGGAACTGCATGAGGACTTTTTGCCCTTAGGCATCCAGAGGGTAGACTAACTCGTCGGGCAAGCACCGGAGCATTGGGTGGTGCGGAGCTTGGATCTTCAGCAGCCGTCTTGCACTATCTTCAGAACCTAAATAGAGATACGATTGTGTGAGTTGCCGACAATCCCTTGATCTTGCCCACTGGAGGGTTAAATGTATAAAAGAACCACCTGCCCGGCGCCTGGAACTGCATGTCTCGGGCATCAGGCAATAGGAATTGAACCACCCTGTAACGGAAGCGTAGGCAGGACAGAGAACACGGAGAAGATGGGGAACACACAAAGCTTTATTGAAACAACAAAATGACAGACACTCAATGGGGAAATGGCAGGGAGGGTGATGTGTGCGCAAACTAGGGATGATTCCAGGCACAGGGGGTCTTCGGCGACAGGCAGGCAACCCACCCCTGGACTGGGGTCTCGGGCAGCAGGCAGGCGATCTCCCCCCTAGGCTTGGAGCCTCAGCCGAGCTCCCTCCGTGACTGGACAGCGGATTGGAGTCTCTGGCAACTGGCGAGCAACCTACCCCTGGTCAGGGGTCTCGGGCAACAGACAGGCAATCTCCCCCCTAGGCTTGGGGCCTCAGCCGAGCTCCCTCTGTGACTGCACAGTGGATTGGAGTCTCGGGCAACAGGCAGGCAACCTACCCCTGGGCAGGGGTCTCGGGCAACAGGCAGGCAATCTCCCCCCTAGGCTAGGGGCCTCAGCCGAGCTCCCTCCGTGACTGGACAGCGGATTGGAGACTCGGGCAACAGTCGGGCAACCTACCCCTGGGCAGAGGTCTCGGGCAACAGGCAGGCAATCTCCCCCCTAGGCTTGGGGCCTCAGCCGAGCTCCCTCCGTGACTGGACAGCGGATTGGAGACTCGGGAAACCTACCCCTGGGCAGGGGTCTCGGGGACTCAACGGGACTCTAGCTGTGGAGTCTGGCCTAGCACAGCTCCCACCCAGCTTTCTAGGGACATTGGGTTCACGGGGACTCAAGGGGTAGCGATGGCTCAAGCACTCAGGGGCATCACAGGTAGCTATACTCCGGGCACGTCATGGGGCAGTTCAAGTAAGGGTAGTCTAGGCATGTAGTAGGGCAGTTCACAACCCAGGTGGTCTGTGCGCACAACAGGGCCAGCTCAGGACACGGGTGGTCAGTGCACATAGCAGGGACAGTTCAAAACACGGGTGGCCGGTGCGCACAGCAGGGACAGTTCAGGACACGGGTAGTCTGGGCGCACAACAAGGACAGTTCAGGACATGGGGGAGGTCGGTGCACACAACAGGGACAGTTCAGGACACGGGTAGTCTGTGCGCACACCACGATCAGTTCATTGCTTCTAGGGACACTCACAGTAGGCGACTTGCAGATGCTCAGCAGCAGGCGGCTTCCAGGGACCCTCACAGCAGCCGGCTCCTCCAGGGGCCTAGCGATCAGCAGCAGGAGCCCTCACAGCGGCCGGCTCCTCCAGGGGCCCAGCGACCAGCAGGCAGGGGCCCTCACAGCAGCCAGCTTCTCCAGGGGCCCAGCGATCAGCAGCATGGGCCCTTACAGCGGCCAGCTTCTCCAGAGGCCCAGCGATCAGAAGGCAGGGGCTCTCCCAGCGGCCGGCTTCTCCAGGGCCCAGTGACCAGCAGGCAGGGGCCCTCACAGCGGCCAGGAACAGCAGTGGGGGTAGCATGGCCACAGGGTCTGACCTTGGAAGAGGGGCTCATGCAGAGCTGCGGAGACTCCCACCCTGAGACATTCAGCGGAGGGAGCAAGATGATTCCAGCAGTGTGCACAGGAACAAAGAGGAGGGCTGCTTCCTGTGCAAGTCCTTTAAAAAACCATGTGGGACGCTGCTAGGTTGCCTCGGCAATGGCAGGCCCAGCACACTGCTAATGGAAGCTACAGGGACATCGGAATGTGCAAGGGGGAAGGGAGGGGTGGAGGGATATGGCGGGGGATGGGAGAGGCACTGGCACTCCGTGACACACCCCTTTTGCTGTATTGATGTACTGTGGTCGGTTGATAAAGCTGATATGAGAGAGGAGTAATTCACAAGCGTATTTGCTGATCAGTTACAGATAAGCCATACTATTCAGTGAGTGGCAATGAATAGGGGGTGACCTATCTGGACACAAGGTGTTTGAAAATGGAGTGGCTGATTGCTACATGCACACTGAAAAATTTTCTGTCACTTGGTGTGAGAAGGGGACTATAGACTTTTAACATTATTTATGGTGGACGTTTTGCTATGTTTGCTTCACTTTTTAGTTTTAGTTTTTTTATTGCACTATTGATTGATTGATTTACACATTTATATCAATTCTTTAGTACTATATTCTCATATTAGATATTAGTGCTGCTATTTTTACATTAAGTTATTTTTCCTAACACATTAATTCAAGACCATGTTTGAAAAATGAATACACCTCAATGAAAGTCTTAGGAGCAAAGCTAAATTTTAGACAACAAAATCCTAAATAGCAAGAATTCAACTAGAGGGGAGTCTAAATATTCATTAAACATGTGGCCAGCAGACAGCTGTTTATAAAAGGGAGTTACTTAAAGAAAACCCCTTTCCATTTTATGCTGTCAGCAATGGCACCACATGGAAGAGAAATGTCACAAGCCCTGAGAAAGAAAATATTTTATTTACACTAGAAAGGTGAAGGCAACAAGAAGATCAGCAAAGCTTTACTTATCAGTCAGAATACTGTAGCAAAAGTGATACAAAAATTTAACAAAGATGGAACTGCAACCATTTCACAGAGACGTCCAGGCCGTCCACTGAAGTTAAAACCTCGACAGGAACGTCTTCTAATGAGAAAGGTTGAAGAAAATCGCCATGCAAGTTAAGCTAAAAAAGTAGAAAGCCAAACTGGGGTGATTGTTTCCCGTGACACAATATGGGGTACACTGCAGAGGAATGGCATGCATGGGTATCGTCCAAGAAGAAAGGTTCTCATAAAGTTCATGCACAAGAAAGCCCACTTAAAAATTGCCAGGGCCCATGCTGGAAAAGAAGAAGACTACTGGAACTCTGTACTCTGGAGTGATGATTCCAAGATAAATGTTTTTGGAACGGATGGCTTCAAAACTCTATGGAGTCACGAAGGTGAGGAGTACAAAGAAAAAGAAAGTAGACACTGCAAGGTATTTAACTAATATGATAACAATCCCATGATACCCTTTATAAATGATAGTGTTCCCTCTATGTAAAATTATGTCAATATTAAGGTGGTTACAAACAAATGATTGTGTTCTTGCATGTGCCAAAACTAAAAAAAGTATATAAATTCTGATGTGCTTACACCAATATCCTCACATTAGTGTATGCTCATAAATGATAAACATAAATACATTTAAACCATCAATAAAATTGCATTAAACAAAGTGCACACATCTTCAATATAAGTGTGAATGGTCAAGTTCCTAATCTTATTTATTATTTTTCTTTTGAATGTGACTTTTTATTCTTCAAAAATTCTACCTCTATGTGGCTTGGTTAAAAATGCAGCGACTCCCACCACTTATTCACTCATGCACTCACCTCCAATTGAGACCATTAGTCCCCTATGTGATAGCATATGACTGACAGAACCTCTTTGTAAGGGGGAGCGGATGGGGGGCAGCGTGTGCAAGTAGGGGACAGGACAGGAGCAGTGTATATGGCGAGGGAACAGTGTATACAGTGAGGGAGCAGTGTATATACTCAGGCTCCCTCACTGGCTGCCCCTATATGTCACTGCCAGTTTTTAGATGTAATTACTGGCTTTTTCTTTCCCTTCACTATAGCTCCAAGAAGGAGCTGTCATTCTCCCTGCAGCTAAAGAAACTAAGGGGTGGGGTCACTGGGTAATGTACTGTAGTGTGAAAGCTGAAGGAAAGGGCAGGGTCACCCAGTGGCATTACCCAGTGACCCCGCCCCTTAGTTTCCCTTAGCAGTGGGGAGAATGACAGCTCCTTCTTGGAGCTATAGTGAAGGGAAAGAAAAAGCCGGTAATTACATTTAAAAACAATTCTGGTTTTTAAATCTAATTAAATCTGGTTTTTAAATCTACACTGTGGTGTCAGCATTGACACCACAGTGACATCACATTGACACTACACTGACATCACACTGATATCACATTAACACTACATTGACATCACACTGATATCACATTAACACTACATTGACATCACACTGATATCACATTAACACTACATTGACATCACACTGATATCACATTGACATCACATTGACATCACATTGACATCACACTGATATTACACTGACATCGCACTGACATCACATTGACAGTACACTGATATTACACTGACATCACACTGATATCACATTGGCATCACACTGATATCACATTGGCATCACACTGATATCACATTGACATCACACTGACATCACATTGATAGTACACTGATATCACATTGACATCACACTGATATCACATTGACAGTACACTGATGATATCCTAACATACCTGCCATTACACTGGCTTTATACGGATACTCTGGAACTGCACTGATACTACACTGTCAATAATACTTTACTATAATTCCACTGATATCAATACTCTTGACACTACACTAGCACTCTGAAACATGACAGAAGTTCATTTCTCAGTGGAGTCAAGTGTACAGAGTATGTGGAGTCAGTGTACAGTGTACGTGGAGTCAGTGTATGTGGAGTCAGTGTACAGTGTATATGGAGTCAGTGTATGTGGAGTCAGTGTATGTGGAGTCAGTGTACAGTGTATGTGGAGTCAGTGTATGTGGAGTCAGTGTATGTGGAGTCAGTGTACAGTGTATGTGGAGTCAGTGTATGTGGAGTCAGTGTACAGTGTACGTGGAGTCAGTGTACAGTGTATGTGGAGTCAGTGTATGTGGAGTCAGTGTACAGTGTACGTGGAGTCAGTGTATGTGGAGTCAGTGTACAGTGTATGTGGAGTCAGTGTATGTGGAGTCAGTGTATGTGGAGTCAGTGTACAGTGTATGTGGAGTCAGTGTATGTGGAGTCAGTGTACAGTGTACGTGGAGTCAGTGTATGTGGAGTCAGTGTACAGTGTATGTGGAGTCAGTGTATGTGGAGTCAGTGTACAGTGTACGTGGAGTCAGTGTACAGTGTATGTGGAGTCAGTGTATGTGGAGTCAGTGTACAGTGTACGTGGAGTCAGTGTATGTGGAGTCAGTGTACAGTGTACGTGGAGTCAGTGTATGTGGAGTCAGTGTACAGTGTATGTGGAGTCAGTGTATGTGGAGTCAGTGTACAGTGTACGTGGAGTCAGTGTATGTGGAGTCAGTGTACAGAGTACGCGGAGTCAGTGTATGTGGAGTCAGTGTACAGTGTACGTGGAGTCAGTGTACATGGAGTCAGTGTACAGAGTACGTTGTGTCAGTGTATGTGGAGTCAGTGTACAGAGTACGTTGTGTCAGTGTATGTGGAGTCAGTGTACAGAGTACGTGAAGTCAGAGTACGTGGAGTCAGTGTACAGAGTACGTTGTGTCAGTGTATGTGGAGTCAGTGTACAGAGTACGTTGTGTCAGTGTATGTGGAGTCAGTGTACAGAGTACGTGGAGTCAGTGTACAGAGTACATGGTGTCAGTGTATGTGGAGTCAGTGTACAGTGTATGTGGAGTCAGTGTATGTGGAGTCAGTGTACAGTGTATGTGGAGTCAGTGTACAGAGTACGTGGTGTCAGTGTATGTGGAGTCAGTGTATGTGAAGTCAGTGTACAGTGTACGTGGAGTCAGTGTATGTGAAGTCAGTGTACAGAGTACGTGGTGTCAGTGTATGTGGACTCAGTGTATGTGGGCTCAGTGTACAGAGTACGTGGAGTCAGAGTAGGTGGAGTCAGTGTATGTGGAGTCAGTGTACAGTGTGTGTGGAGTCAGTGTACAGTGTGTGTGGTGTCAGTGTATGTCGAGCCAGTGTACAGAGTACGTAGAGTCAGTGTACAGAGTACGTGGAGTCAGTGTACAGTGTACGTGGAGTCAGTGTATGTGGTGTCAGTGTACAGTGTACGTGGTGTCAGTGTACGTGGAGTCAGTGTATGTGGTGTCAGTGTACAGTGTACGTGGAGTCAGTGTATGTGGGGTCAGTGCACAGTGTACGTGGTGTCAGTGTACAGTGTACGTGGAGTCAGTGTATGTGGTGTCAGTGTACAGTGTACGTGGAGTCAGTGTATGTGGTGTCAGTGTACAGAGTACGTGGAGTCAGTGTATGTGGAGTCAGTGTACAGTGTACGTGGAGTCAGTGTACGTGGAGTCAGTGTATGTGGTGTCAGTGTACAGTGTACGTGGAGTCAGTGTACGTGGAGTCAGTGTATGTGGTGTCAG